GATATCTGAATGGAAACAGTGAACCCTATGCCTACTTCACAACATACACTAAACTTCATTGGAAATGGGTCATGGATCTAAACATAAAAGCCGAAATACTTAAGCTTTTCGAAGAAACCATAGGAGAATATCTTCATTATGTTGGTTTAAGCAAAAATTTCTTAGGACACAAAGTGTACTATTCATATAGGAAAAAAATGACATACTGGATTTTAAACTTTGAAACTTCTATTCTTCAAGAAAATGAAAAGACAAGCGAATGCTCGTCAATAGATGATTGGATAAAGCAGAGGTGGTACATATATATAGTGGAATATTACTCCCCCATAAAAAAGAATGAAATCTTACCATTTGCAACAAGGTGGATGGATCTAGAGGATATTATACTAAGTGAAGAAAGTCAGAGAAAGACAAATACCATATGATTTCACTTATATGTGGAACCTAAAGAACAAAATAAACAAAACAGAAACAGAACCATAAATGCAGAGAACAAACTAAGGGTTTCCAGATGGGAGGGGGATGGGTCCGCTGGGTGAAAATAGTGACGGAATGAGGAACTACAAATGGGTAGTTAGGAAGGAGCCATGGGGATGTGAAGTACAGCGTCGGGAATACAGTCAATACTGCAACAACTGGATGTCGTGTTAAGTGGGTACTAATCTGGGGGATCACTTCATAAATTATACAATTGGTTAACCCCTATGCTGTGCACAGAAACTAATATAAAGTAATATTAAATGTAAACTAATTGAAAAATAAACTTTTTCAAAGAAAACCAAAAAACAAAATCATGGAGTGCAAGTATTTGCAACATGCATATCTTAGTAAGGACTTACATTGAGGACTTGCATTTAAAGAACTCCTACAATCATTTCTAAAATTAGGTAAAATATGTAAACAGAAATTTCACAAAAGAGGACATAAAATGGGCAATAAGTACATGAAAAGATGCTCGTCATCTTTAGCCATCAAAGTGAAATCATATGGTATTTGTCTGAAAATGAAAACCATAATAAAGATAAATCATTTAACACCCAATAGAATGGTTAAAATTACAACAAATGATCTTACCAAATGTTGCTAAGGGTATGGAGCAACTGAAAATTCCTTGCATTTTTGTGGAGATTATAAAATGGTGTCACTGCTTTGGAAAATGTTTTGTCAGTTTCTTTAAAAGTTAGCATACACCTACCCTATGTCTTAGGGATTCCCTGGCTGGGTGTTTACTTAAGAAAATGAAAACATATGTCTTTGAAAAAACTTGAATATGAATGTGCATAGAAGCTTTATTAATAACAGCCCCAAGATAAAAACATCACAAATGTCCCTCAAAAGCACATTGTGGTATATCATATAATGGAATACTAGTCAACAATAAAAAGAATGAACTACTGACACAACATGGGTGTATAAATTTTTTCAGAAGTCATTGAACTGCACTTAAAAATCTATATATTTAGCCCTGGCCGGGTGGTTCAGTTGGTTGGAGCATCATCCGTACACCAAAAGGTTGTGGGTTTGATCCCTGGTAAGGGCATATACAGAGGTAATCAACTGAAGTTTCTCCCCTTTCCTCTCTCTCAAATCAATTTATCTATATATCCATCCATCCATCCTTGGGTGAGTATTTAAAAAAATCGTGGTATATTTATACTTTCATAAACATATTTAACTATACTCTTTAAACAGCTAAAATAAATAGAAGTTACAGGACATATACAAAGGGCAGTAAGTGAGCGCCAGGTCTTTTAAGTGCAGTCTGTTCTCCATGGTGAAACAATGACATCATGTGAGTGTTTGTCACATATGTGGAGAAGTTGTGACCAACACAGTATTTAGCAATATATTTTACATAACATTCTTCTCAAAACAGGATAGCAGCCCTTTGATTTACAGAAACTGTCTCATTTTATTTATGCATTCATTTATTAATTCATTCAACACATGTATTGAGTTTATACTATGTGCCAGTTACTCTTTTAAATTCTGGCAGTAGAATGGTGAACAAAATAAATTGATAAAATCCCTGTCCTCATGGAACTTGTGTTCCAGTTGGAGAGGGAGATAGAAACAAGATACACAAGTAAGACATATAGACCAGCTGTGGCTGGTGCCCTCGAGTCACACTAAGGGATTGCACATCTCTGTTCTGATCTGTTGTGTATTCATTTCATGCCTTAACTATTGAAGAATAATTTCAGAAGCAAGTTAATATGCAACCAAACACATTTATTAATTAACCAAAACATTTTTCCAATTATTATACATAGATAGGCTATATAGACATATATAATATATACATATATATCAATGGATATATATCCTCTTGAATATATTCAATGTATAAAAACCTGTTGAATATAGCTTCATCATTTAATATAATAATATTCCAGGTTATTTAATATTTATTTCTAATTCTTTTAAAGTCATTTTCTGTTTTGCCAACATATCAACAGGCCTAAGTCACCAATTTGAATGAATTATCTGAATTTAAAGAATTACCAAAAATTGAAAATTTAGAAAGATGTATAAAGTTTACAGCAATTTATGTGAAGTGTTAGTTCCAAGTTCTCACTTTGCTTTTGTAACTATTTGGAGTGTGTGGAGTGTCTCTGTCCAGCTGCCCTGCTCGGCTGCAGAACTGTGCTTCAGTACAATTGGTTCCCTTATAATCCCGCATGCTTTATTTAATGCATTTAAAACATTACTCTAAGGAGTTCGTAGTCTTCGCCATACTGTCCCAGTGATCCATGGTATAGTAAATTAAAGAAGCCCTGACCAAGGGAGGAGCTGGGCAAGTTTCCCTGGGGGAGAAAAAGACAAGATTCAACATGTAGTACAGTCTGGGCCCCAATGACAGCTGAGGAGTAGAGAGAGAGGGACAAAGTCTTAAGGCCCAGAAACCCAGAGTCTTGTCTCCCTACATCCTTCTTAGGCTATAAACTTATTCTTGATATATATTATTTAGTTGTTGTTGTTAATCCTCACCTGAGGATATTTTCCCATTGATTTTTAGATAGAGTGGAAGGGAGGGAAGGATGGTGGGAGGGAGATGGGGATCGAGAGAGAGAGAGAGAGAGAGAGAGAGAGAGAGAATGAAATGAGAGAGGCACATTGATTGATTGCCTCCCACATGACTCTGATGGGGGCCGGCATCAAACTTGTACCTCAGGTATGTGCCCTTGATGGGGAATCGAATCTGTAATCCTTTGGTCCAAGGGCCAATGCTCTAACTGCTGAGCTAAACTGTCCAGGGCTTGATATATGTTATTTTGATAAATTTGGTGAACTGATATTTTGACAAGTTGATCCTTATTTGAATTGACTGAGAACCACCCTCTGAACTTGCTAGAGCATTCCCTTATATAGATGTAAGAATGAAGAGGGGACTTCTCACCACTATTATCCTATCAGTTCATTTAAAAGTGGATGTTTTACTACAGTGAAATATCACTTCACACCCCCTAAGATGGCTATGATAAAGAAGACAGATAATAAGTATTTTCAAGGATGTGAAGAAATTCAAACCCTCACACATTGATCCCGGGAATGTGAAAATGGAAAACAGTCTGTCAGTTCCTCAAACGGTTAAATATAGAGTTCCCATATGACCCAGTAATTTCACTCCTAGGTCTGTTCCCAGAAAAGTAAAAACATATTCACACAAAAGCTTGTACATGAACATTCGAAGCAGCATTATTTATAATAACCAAAAATGGACACAACTAAAACATTCATCAACTGATAAAACGGATAAGTAACATGTATATCGTACAATGGAATATTATTTGTCAGTAAAAGGGAATGGAGTACTGATACATGCTAAAACATGGATGGCCCTTGAAAACATTATGCTATGTGAAAGAAGCCAGTCATAAAAGACCACATTATAAAATGCCCAGAGTAGGAAAATATATATAAAAACAAAGTAGATTAGTAGTTGCCTAGTGCTAAGTGTGGGGGAGTCACTATTAATTAATGGGTATCAGGTTTCATTTTGGACTAATAAAAATGTTCTAAAATTGATAGTGGTGCTGGTTACACAATCCTGTGGATATACTAAAACCCATTAAATGGTATACTTTAAAGGATGGATTGTATGGTATGTGAATTATATCTCAGTAAAGCTGTTAAAAAAAGTTCTTTGTATAGCCAACACTAATCTCGGGAATTTTGACTTTTTCACTTTCTTGTGCCCTGACACCAAAACCCTTGCACTTTTCACTGTGCTTCATTGTCTTCCAGTGTTGAATTGTCTGGCTCGGTGTACACACTGATCTACATACTGGCAGGGAAGTGGACATGATCTAGACCTTTAAGATCACTGAGTCTATGTTTCAGTGAACCACTAGACACAGAAAAAAAACCATTACTCTTTTTAAATACTTTTGTTTTTAATTAATTTTATAGAGATAGAAAGGGAGAGGGAGAGAGAGAACCATTGATGAGAGAGAACATCAATTGGCCGCCTCCTGCATGCCCCCCCTGGGGATTGAGCCCACAACCTGGGCATGTGCCCTGACAGGGAATCGAACTGGTGACCTCTTGGTGCATGGGTCGACACTCAGCCACTGAGCCACACCGGCCAGGCAAAATACCATTACTCTTAACTGGTTGCTAACTGCTTAATAAGTAGAAAGCACTCCATCACAGATGTTTCACTTGGGTTCAAATCTCAAACATCATCACTTGCTAGGTGGGAAACCTTGGTCAAATTACTTAATCTCTTTGATCTTTTGTTTTCTTATACTAAAATGGGTATCATAATATCCACACCATACGGTATTATGAGAATTTATTTATATGTAAAGGCTCTCAGCACAGTACCTAACATATAATAAGTGTCAAATGAATAGTTATAATTACTGTTCATTTTATTGTTATTTATAGTGAGTAATTTCTAATTAAGTGCTTTTCTCTCTAGTCAAAACATTCTTTCTGGCTGTTTACTCTTTATCCTTCTCAAGCCCCGTTGACGTGTATTCTTCTTTTCGTAGGTACAGCATAAGAGATATGGTGCAATTCTTAAGCGTTTGCATTGTCAGGTGAACAAGCTTCAGTCAGATAGAAGGCACTGGCAAGGGAGCCTTCAGCAGCTGGAAGGAACCGCAGCAGAACTAAGAAAACGCATTGCGATGAAAGACGAACATGGCCGCAGGACGATGTCGAGCACAGAGTATTCTCACGAAAACTCTGAGACCGGATGTTGAGACATCGTTTGGATTCTTTTATTTTTCTGGAATTTTATTTATTTTTATTAAAGTATGGTTGACATAAAATATTATATTTGTTTTAGTGATTCTACATTTATATAGCTTACCAATGAGCTTTCAGAGGTCTGTCTTAATAAGATATATTTTCTCTTTTCAGAATCAGTCATTTTTCATTAAAGTGCCTTCCAACCCTACAACTGATAGCAGTAGACAGACAATAGGAATGCTTACAGAAGAATAGTAGACGACTCTGAATATTTTCCATGTATAAGATGTATTGTACTCATGAATGCCTGTTTATAAACTGTTGCCTTCACTATTACATAAAGTAAACAGAAGAAAAACACTTGAATTTATAATGATTTAAATTGTTAAGCTATTTAAATGGTTGTCTATTTCAAATTTTATTAGACTTTGTTTTTTTTACTACTGCCTCACAGCAGTGCATAAATATTAACATTTACAATATTGTTATGTGTTTAATGCCTCAGATACGTTTCTTTGTTTTCTCTTTCATTCAGAAGCCAGCAATCATTTTTCTTTGTTATTAGATAACTTATTTTTAGTGTTGAGCATAAATTTTTTTGTTCATGCTTCTGTCTATAAATTCTTTATTACTATTCTATGATTAAAATAACATTGTGTAAGGCAAACTTATAAGCTCTTAAAAGAAAAATGTTAACCAGTATAGACAAATGTACATTTTTTTTTGAAAGGCAAGTGTTATGTCCGTGGCAACAAATCAAAATATAACTTGTTCCTTTCAAGATAAAAGTGCTCCTTCTCTTGGTTCCATTAAGTCAAATTTTTAGGAATAAAAATAAAATATTAACTATTAAATACATGGTTTTCAATTTTTTAAGAAATTTAAATTTTGTTTTTCAATTACAGTTTACATTCAGTATTGTATTAGTTTCAGGTGTACAGCATAGTGGTGAGATAATCAAATACTTTACAAAGTGTCCCCCACCCCCATATTTTAAGTACCCTGGAACCATATATATATAGTTATCTTAATATTATTCACTATATCTTTTATGCTGTACTTTTACTGAACACATGGTTTTTAAATATTTGCTTTAGGGTTTAATGATTTCATATCAACAACATAAAATTATATCTTAAGCCCTGGCCGGTTTGCTCAGCGGTTAGAGCATTGGTCCTCGGATCAGAGTCCTGGGTTCAGTTCCCGCTATGGGCAGGTACCATGATTGCAGTTTGTCCCCAGCCTGGTTGGGGTCATGTGGGTGGCAACCAGTTGATGTGTCTCTCACATCAATGTTTCTCTTTCTTCCTTCCTCCCTTCCTCTCTATCTGAAGATAAATGCAAAAATATCCTCCTATGAGGATTAAAAAAATTATATTTTAGGTTCATTTTCTCCTCACTTTTCTATGTGCTTGAGATTAGTAAGCTATAACTGATAATATAAACTCTAATATTAATCTCATGTCTAACATTAATAGTTGTATTATGCATTAATATGGCTTATTATGGCTAACACTTTAAATTGCTTATACTGTAACACATCAGCTCTAGTCCATGACTCAGAAACATGGCTATGCATAAAAACAGTTAAAACTGTAAATGTGGCATAAACCTACTATGCTCAGCAGAAGACAAGGCTGAACCAATGCATATTATAGAAAAATATTTAAATGTAATTTGCATTTTTTTTTATCCTCAACCAAGGACATTGTTTTTGCATTTCTCTTCAGCGGGAGGGAGAGAGGGAGAGAGAGAGAAAGAGAAACATCGCTCGACCCCAACCAGGGTCGGGGTACGTGCCCTTAGTGGGAACTGAACCTGGGACTCTCTGGTCCTCAGGCCAATGCTCTAACCACTGAGCAAAACCGGCCAGGTGTAATTTGCATATTTAAAAGGCTCTTTTTATACTTATACTTTATAATTTTATTTAAAGTTAATGAAAGAAAAACTCTAGTTTTTAAAACTTATAATAGTTTTTTCCCCTGGATATAAGTATTTAATGATTATTGATAAAATAATTTTCACATTCGAACCTTTAAATCTGAGGAAATCACTACTGCACACACAGGACACTCTAATAGTGCTGTTTGCATGCCATCATCGGTCATGTGAACATTTTTCAGAATAAGGGAATGATTCTAGAATATCCATGGTAAAAAAATAAATACTATTCTCTTATGCCAGCAATACTCACTACGGGCTCTTAGATTCCAACTACAGTCTGGTGTGTTCCAGCCACCGCCTATCCACTTCATGGTTTTGAGAGCAACAACGTAAAAAACAGCTGCAATATCACAGTCTTGCTGATCTTCCAGGTTCCTGTGACCAGTCTACCCTTGGGCCCCCGTGGCTTCACCCCAGCACACTGTGTGGTGACCTTGGCCTTGAGAAGAGCTTGGTCCCACTCCCCCTGGCCATCCTCTTCCTCCTCCTCCTGCTCCAAGTCAGCAGACACGCTCTTGATTCTCTGGAGCGCAGCCTTGAAGCTCCTCTCTAGGTTGCAGGTTGGTTTACTGCTGCGGCTCAGGCCAAGGTCAGGCGAACTTTCTTCAATTTGATGCCCTGCCTTATGGCAGCCAGAATGTGCTCATTGACAGGCACGGGGAGGGGCCAAAGCGGCATTTTCACCTTCTTGAGAGGGGTTCCGTCACTTCATCCATAGACTCTGGTCATTTAAAACTGAGGAATCATGAATCTTTCAGCAGATGATTCACACACTCGAGGAAGTGGCTGATAATTTTTTACTGAAATCATGATGTGTAAATTCCGATGATTTGCAGATTGAGAAGAAAAGGAGGAAGCAGGGAGGAGGGGAGGTGCTGGTAGGGGCAGTGGTGGAGGGGGAGGAGGAGGAAGGAGAGGAGGTGGTGGCGTGGTGGCAGCAGTGACAATTCCTCATTGGATTTGGAGTGTTTGGTCACCACCTGGAACAAAAATCGGGACAGGGATATTCCCAGGATAGTCTTGAAACTTGGGGGTTTTCACATTGCCAACATCAGATGAGGGCCCACTTCTGGTTTTCCTGGAGGATGGATGGATGAACACCTCCATCTCAGAAGTCCCAGAGAAGTCCAAACTACCTGGCAGGTTTGGAGCCTCAGGTTCTGGGCAAGGGGTTTTTAGTAAGACTGACCTGGACATCTCTCTTTAAATGCTCTCAATCGTTTCAGTGTCTTTTGATGTTCTTGGTTTATCCATTCTTTTTTCTTTTGCTTCTCTTCTTTTATCTTGTCTCTTTTCATCTGAATACTATGGTGCCGATGAAAATACCTTATACTTTCTTCAGCCTGTTGCAATCAGAGCTGATGATTTTCTTTGCATTGATCCTTCCTGTTTTGAGATGGGCTCTTCTGATGCAGATCCTGCCCCCGTTATGCTCCAGCGGCTGGCACCGCGGGCTGAGCTCTTCATCCCCAAATCCTCATCACGGAAGCCCATTACCTGATCAAGGATTTTAAGTAATATTTCTTCCTATTTTAATATCTCGAATCTAACCTCATATAGTTCTAACTGAACTTCAAAATGTTGTCTTTCTAGTTCATGTACAACATCTCTCTATATTTTTTTGTTCTGGAAGATCGTCCATCTCTCTCTGAATTTCAGCTCTTTTGTGATTTAAACACAACTCTTTGGCTCTCATGAGCTGCAGTGTCTCCCGAGCTAACATCATCAACTTGAGTCTTTCTAACCTGGGAGTTGCTGTGGCCCAGGCAGCCTGACCAAATCTCTTCTCATCTTGTTCCATTTGTTTCTGCATCCCTGCTAATACTTTTCCTGGTTCTTTAAAATAATTCACTGTAATATCTTGAATAGAGACGATAGCTTCTTCAGCCTGCCTGGTCCGTTCTTGGGCTTCCTTCTGCAGGGCCACTATCCTTTTAGGACCGAGCTCCTCCTCATCCACGGACTTCAAAATGTCAAGCTTCCATGAAGTTGCAGCTTCTCCCATGTCTCTAAATGGCTGCAGTAAATACTGGAAGAACATGGTTGCCACGGTAACTAGTTCCTGGTACGCTTCATCTTCTCCATAGACTGCCATTAACGCTACCATTATGCTGGCCCTTTCATGGCCTGGGAGAATCTGACGCAGCCCTGCCACCGCCGCCCAGCGTGGAGGGCCAGCAGTAGAGCGCTAGGCAGGCCGCACCGCCACAGCCATCGCCGCCAGGCCCAGGTGGCACTGTAGCCGCTGGCTCAGCTCCGGCAGGGCTGCCTCCCCAGGGCTGCCCAGCGCCTCCATTCGAGCGCCCCCAGGCCGCAGGTGCCGCCGCCTGCCTCCAGGTCCAGTGGCGCCCCGGGAAGTAGCATTGCAGGGGCCGCCGCGCTGCCAGCGGCTGGTGCGCACCGCGGAGCCCAGTGCCCAGAGCAGGTCGGCCCAGCTGGGCAGAGACCCAGGCTGGCTCCGCGCCCACTGCTGCTGCTGCTGCTGCTGCGCACGAGGTCGTGCAGGTGACCAGAACTTGCCCTCCAGCGTCCTTCCAGGCTAGGAGATAGTGCAGCTGATGCCCATGGGGCTGGTGAACCGCGGACACGGCCCCCAGCCCTCCGCACCCGAGGCTACTTGTCGTCCAAGGCTGGTGGTCAGTGGCCTGGCCGCGGCCTCCTTGCAGCCCCTGGACAGGACAGGCTGCACCACTGACAGTTTTCGCTCTATAATAGGGTTTACAATATGTGTACATAATAGTTAATACCTTGAATTATATTTTTGAAAAGTTTATTTTAAAAATAAGATATAAGGATCCAAGATGGCGTGCAGTAGGTGCAAGTTACAATCATTTCCTCCCAGGACCAAGCTGGAAGTACAACTAACATACAGAACAATCAACCTGAATAACCAACTGAAGACTAGCGGAACAGAAGTCACAGAAGCAAGGATTTATGGAAGGAGCCACATCAGGACTGGCAGGAAGGCGGACAGACGTGAAAAGCGCTCACCCCGCTCCCACAGGCAGTGGCTGGGATTTTGGAGAGATCGCTCAGGGGCAAAGGGTCCCCCTGAGGAGCATAGTGTCTCAGCCCCATGTGGGCCACT